GCTCGTTCACTGATCATTCGTAGCATGAAGATGGCGTTTCTTGTGCTACAATAATACAAAATATACGATGCAATACAAAATACACATACAAAACAATACAAAAACATACTAAGCAATACAAGAACATACTTAACAATGCAAAAACATACAAAATAATGCTGAAATTATACAACATATTAATAGAGAAAGCAAATTTGATTCAAACAAACAAATCATTTCAGACTTCAAAAGCAAAAAATGTATTATAGTAACTTGATACCAAAAAAAACAGTAAATATATAGATGAACATTTTTTTGCCGGAAGAGGATTATAAATATGGGAATTAACTGTCTAGGTTGAATATTTTATCTATGGAAATCTTTTGTAATTTATCTTTTTTTCTATTTTTTTTGTTTTGTTTTATTAACTTGTCAATGTGTTACGTTCGTAAAAGTTTTATGTAAATTTTATTGTTCGTTATTTTAAGCTTTAATTTCTATGCTTCTCATACATTTATTTTAGTTTTTTTATTAGTTTTTTATCTATGTTTTATTATATCTATGTTAGTTTTTGTTTACTAGTAGATTTTTTATTTAAATGTATGTCTGGTATTGTTTTCGCATTGTTGATGTTTATGCTTGTCCATTTGTATTTTTTTATCTATGCGTGTTTGAATTTTTAAATTGTATCGTGATGTATGTATCATATCGTATCTTTGTCTAGTGAGTGTTTGTATGGTATCATATCTTTGTATCATGTCTTTGTATAGTATTTTATTTTTGTATTTTATTTTGGTATTGTATTGTATTTTGGTATTGTATTGTATTTTTGTATTGTCTTTCTTTCTACCTTTGTATAATCATTTTTCAGTTTATTTTTGATTTGTGATTCCCTGTAGATTTCTATTGCATAGTTCAGGGTCAGGCTGGTATGATTATGATGATATTATTATTGTTGTTGTTGTTGTTGTTATTCATGTATGTATTGAGGTATGTATGCATGACGATCTGGTTCTTACTATCTATTATCTTATCTTTTCGAGATTTTTAAGATATTATTATTATTATTATTCATTATTATTATTATCATTATTATTCATCATTATCATTATTATTGTTGTTATTATTATTATTATTATTATTATTATTATTATTATTATTATTATTATTATTATTCATTATCATAATTATTGTTATTATTCATTATTTTTATTATTATTATTCATTATTATTATTCATTGTTATTATTCATTATTCATTATTATTATTATTATTATTATTATTATTATTATTATTATTAATCATTATTATTGTTATTATTAAGATGGCGTAGTTATAATTAATGCAGTATCAGCACGTTATCAAAATGTCTGTCTTCGGCTTGTCCTCCTAATCGCGATAACATGAAAAACAATAACACAAGAAGCAACAGCACAATAACAACAACAACAATAACAACAACAGCAACAACAATAACTCAAGAAGAGTCGGTTCGAATAGATACGAATAGATACGAATAAACTCGGTATCAAGGTTATGCACCTACCTAGAAAAGTAAATTCATACTGACAGTACCATACATATATGTACACCTAAAAAGCCCATACGTATACAGAAATACACACACACACATAGATGAGAAAGAAAGAGAGAGAGAGGGAGAGAGAGAGAATCGAAAAAAAAGTGAGAACATGTCTGTGTGAACATTTTGACGAATCCACCGACACGAACAATTATTAATAACGGACAAAAATTTGATATTACATTCAGGTTAATTCAATTACCGATGTAACTGGCACATCCCTAAACTTGTGTACGCGCACGCAAACGAGAAAACACACACACAAAAACAAAAAGACGCACACACAGATATAAATATACATATATATGTGTGTATATAACACATGTGCTGTTATAAAAATACATCAAATAAAAGTTTCTTTCTAAGCGCTATTTGCATATACTCACATACAAAAATAAGTTATTGTATGTTATAGTGTGTGCGTGTATGCGTGCGTGTGTGTGTGTGTGTGTGTGTGGTGTGTTTGTGTGGGTGTGAACTTTAAGCGTAATGTGAAACAAAGCAAACAATAAAGGACAATGATCAAAGAGGAAGCACACACACATTTTGTATTATTAGTGTACGCACATGTGTGTGTGTTTGTGTAGAAGCGTGTTTGGAAGTGTGTATGTGTGTGTGTGTGTGGATATGTGTGGATGTGTGAGTAAGTGTGTGTAAACTGTAAAACTGTTTTTGGATTGTATAAACTGTCATGCATGTGAGTATATGCATAATAATGAGTTTGTGTGTAAGCTTGTTTCTATGTGCGAGCATGTATATATATATATATTTGTGTATGTGTGTGTGCGTGCGTGTGTGCGTATGTGTGTGTTGATAAAACACTAATTAAACGACGAAGGAGTGTATAAAAGAGGTGTTAAAGTGGCGTGTGGTGTGTGACGATGTTCACGCACTGCTTCCATCATTAATTATTATGTAATATTAAATATGTGTGTGTGTGTGTGAATGTGTGTGTACGTTTGTGTGCATGTGCGTGCGTGTCTGTGCGAATGTGTGCGTGTGTGCCTGTACACGTACGTATGGTTTATATCAAGTTTCAAGTTGAATTCGTTTTAATATGTTAGCTCCAATTAGATATTTGATATTGTGTGACTTGGTATGCATTATTTTTGTTGTTGGTGTTGTTGTTGTTGTTACCATTGATATTGTTATCAAAGTTGTTGCTGTTGTTGTTGTTATCGTTGTTATTGTTGTTTATGTTGTCGTTGTCCTGAAAGTATTAGTTTAGTAATGTTATTTAGGTAGCTTCGGAGTGGAAGTTAACTTATTATAGTGCATGGACCCACATCGTATATCAATACAAACTATAAACACATACAAACATACATACTTACATGCACACACACATACATACATACAAACATACATACAAACACATACATACCATGAAATACACTGCCTAGCCAATAAACATTTCATGTGATTAAGGATACTTTATCTTAACTAAAATAAACTATAATACTTGGCAATTCAACACACACACACACACACACACACACACACACACACACACATACAAACACACGTACACACATACAAACACACGTACACACATACAAACACACATACACACAAACAAAAAACAAACATCAATACACTCATATGTACATGCGCATATTCATACAGACACGCACTCATAAAGAGATATACACACAAACACACGCATACATACATATAATTATTTAATCATCTCACATTTATAGCATAGCAAGCATGACACATTTGAACGTCAAACTTGAGTCAAATACATATATATGTATATATATACATGTTTTGGTATAATATAATACGTATAATTGTATATTTGTTTGTGTATGTGTTTCTATATGTGTTTGTATATTTTTGTATGTGTTTTTATATTTTTTTTGCTTGTACATTTTTTTATGCTGCCTGTATATAGTATACATTTTTACCGATTCACTGATTAAATACATAATTAGTATAAATACTAGCCGTAGTAGTAGTTGTTATAGTGGTTGCAGCCAGAGCAGCAGCAGCAGTAGTAGTAGTAGTAGCAGTAGTAGTAATATTAGTAACAACGGTATAAATAACAAGACACAGTATCACCATACATCCCAAAGTTTAGTAAATTTAAATTTATGAGCCATTGAAATATTTCGTATACATACAAACATACAAATATACAAACAAAGAAACAGACATACAAAAAATCAAACATACATACGTACAAACAAACAACCAAACATGTGCACTTGTAACATAATCTCGAAAAAACATATCATAAATCTAGTCTGATTTATACAACAATATGTATGCTTTTATAAGCAAACAAACAAACAAACACACAAATAGATCGATAAATGGATAGAACAACTTGAAACATATATTTAAAGTTCAATAACATTAACAACATCAACATACCAAAATAGTGTGGGTATTTCAACATTAATATGTCATCATTATCATCATCGTCGTCATCATTATCATCATCGTTATCATTATCATCACCATCATCGTTATCATTATCATCACCATCATCATCATCTTTATCATTATCATCATCGTCGTCGTCATCATCGTCTAATACTTTCTTACATATTCAAAATTTTCAGCCAACAACAACAGCATTGATTAGGTATAAATGTTTATCATCATCGTCGTCGTCGTCATGATCATCATCATGCTCATCATCATCATCATTCCCATCATCATCCTCACCATCATTATCATCATCTTTGTTCATATCTTACTGAGCCAACATCATCATCACGTACGGGATCATTATCATAACAATATGGGAAGCGAGTGTTTGTATATTTGTGCACGTGTTTTAGTTCAATTTCAGCAAACTGGTGGTGGTCCATCCATCCATCCATCCATCCACTCGTTCATTCATTCATTTATTCATTCGTTCATCCATTCACCAATTCATTCATTCATCTAACAATTCATCCATATATGCTTCATTTTTTTACATACTTAACTTCTATATTAACTTTTCTATTTTATAAAATTTATATCAATTTACTCGTTTGTTAATCAACTTTCCGTCTATCTATACATCGATCCATCCATCCATCTATCCATCCATCTATTCATCCATCCAACCACCCATTCATCCATCCATCCAACCAACCAACCATCCATTCAACCTCGGTTAAAAAACTTTTCCTCCTTTCGTCACTTCTGGTCCACCTTGTCAACTTAAATTCAATCCAGTTAACTCCAACAGATTTCACCGAATAAATTGTGTTAATTTTATCATTAGTTGGCTGCAAAAAAAAAATCATTACAGAAGTTACGACAACAAACATACTAAAAAATATAAAACTTACAAACATACAAATAACAAACATACAGAAAAGAAATATACAAACATACAAACGACATACAAATAGATATACAAACTACATTGGAACAAGTAACTATACAAACATTGGAACAAGTAAGTAACTATACAAACATACAAACAAACAAACAAACAAACAAACAAAAATAGAAATTGGAACATTAACAATGAGTGACACATCCGCGTTATCATACATTAAACGACAAACCAAGAAAAAAATTCTTTAAAACATACAAAATTTTGTAAAATACATACAAGAAATGCAAACATACAAACTTACAAACAATGAAAACATACAAATTCATTCATACAATTCAACTAATTGTATTTTGTAATATTTTGGTGAGCAGATTTGTATACATTCTGTGTATTTTTGTATTATTTGGCTTACATCTTTGTATCTCTGTATATATTTCTGGTCTTTTTTCATTTTTCAAACGTTTTTTTGTATTTGTCTATTTATAAGTTAAATTCGAAACTCATTTTGCATACTTTTGAGTATTTTTGTATGCGCTTTGTATCCATTTTGTATTATTTATACGCGCTCTGTATGCATTTTGTATTGTTTGTATGTATATTTTTTATGTATTTTGTATACATGTTCTATTATTTTGGTAATTTCTGTATGCACTTTGTATTATTTGTGCAATGGACATGTATTTTTATATGAGAAATGACACGCGCGCAAGTCTCTCTGATGATTAATCGAGGTGGTGGAGACTACTAACAACATTTAGACAGGTGGATGGATGGATGGATAGATGGATGGATGGATGGATGGATGGATGGATGGATGGATGGATGGATGGATGGATGGATGGATAGACGGACGGACGAACGAATGAACGAACAAACGAATGAATGAATGAATGAATGAAAACAGATGAATGAAGAATAAATGAGCAAATAATAAATAAATGAAGGAATGGAAAAATGAATTAACCAATAAATATATGAATAATTTATCCACATAAAAAATTAGAGAAGAAAGAAATGATTGATAGCCTATCTGACAAATGATGGAATGAATGAATGAATGAACGAACGAACGAACGAACGAACAAACGAATGAATGAATGAATAAATAATGAAAAATTGAGCCTCTGATTGATTTATTGATTGAAAGAATGTACGAGCGAACGCTAGATGAAAGGGGGAAAAATCTGAGACTGATTATTATTTAATAAACAAATAAACACACCAGTGTGAAAATATGAAAAAATGATGTATGGATGGATGGATTGAATAAGTGGATGAATGAATGAATGAATGAATGAATGAATGAAGGAATGAATGAATGAATGAATGAATGAAGGAATGAACAAGTGTACGAATGAACAAACGATGAATGAACGAATAAACGAACGACAGAGCGATCAAACGAATGGATGACTGATGAAATAAATGAAATAAAGACGGAGGTAAAACATAAACATACGATGGAATGTTATAAATAAATAAAAGAAGAAAAAGACAACAACAACAACATCTCCAAAACCAACAAAAACTTTATTAACAACAACAACAACACTAACGATAAACATCCAGAAGAACATCGCTACTGAGCTCGCCATTTTGGTAACCCCTGTGTGACGTCACGCACGTGACCACGGACTTGTCGTCAGTGGGGGCGGGGTGAAAGGTCAAGGTACTCACCACGGCGAATAGTTTCGGTTTCGAATCGTCGGTAATTACTCTGTTTCTGTCGGAAGGAGTTTCATAGATTGGGTTGTTGCTGGTTAATAAACGCATGGATGAATGAATGAATGAATGAATGAATGAATGAATGAATGAATGAATGAATGAATGAATGAATGAATGAATGAATGAATGAATGAATGAAAAAATAAATTGATGAAAAGATTAATAAAGTGTATAAATGAATGAGCAAGCAGCAGTAGTAGTAGTAGTAGTTCGTAGTAGTAGTTGTAGTTTGTAGTAGTAGTATAAATAGTAGTAGTTAGTAGTAGTAGTAATAGTAGTAGTAGTAGTAGCAGCAGCAGCAGCAGTGTCAGTAGTAGCAGTAGTAGTGATGATAGTAGTGGTAGCAGCCATAGCAACGACAGCCGGGGTAGTGGTAATAGTAGTAACAGCAGTATATAAGCAGAAGAAGCGTTAATTCAATCAGGGCTAGGCAGTAAACGATGGCTCCATTTGCATAATAGGGAGTGCAATAAAAAATAATATCTCTAAATAGAAACATACATACACAAACATACATAAATACACACACATACACACTGACATACATAAATTCACACACATACACACTGGTATACATAAATACGCACACACACATACACACAGACATACAGAAATACACACACACAGACACACAGACATACATAAATAAATATGCGCATATGCAAATACATACATACAAGCAAAATGACATACATACAATTATACTAACAAACAATCAATGCATTTATACGTACGTATATACTACATATACATATATGTTTATACAAATTCATAAGCATACATTTTTACATATGCACACAAACAAATACATAACATTGTGTATAACGTATATATACTAATATATGTATATATGTAAAATAACTTACTAGGCAAACATCCATTCGTATGGTATGGTATGGTATGGAGAATTTATATAGCGCCCCTCTATGTAAAACTCAGAGGCGCTGGCGTATAAATATGTAAACCTACAAAACATATAAACATCATCATCATTAAAAAACATCATCATTAAAAAAAATCATCATCATCATCCTAATGACTTGAAGTAACTGAGGTCCACATTCAGCTTATTCTTCAGCCAATAAACAGTCGGGATGGGTTTTCCCCAGTCGGAAATACACGTGACCGAAAGCTGGGGACTTGATCCGTTATGCACGATGGTATTCTCCGATGTTAGGTTGTAGATTGTGGGCTGGCCCGGAGGGACTAAGGTGATGGTGGTTTGTGTGTGTGTGTGTGTGTGTGTACGTGTGTGTGTATGTATGTATGTATGTACGTGTATGTGTGTGTATGTACGTGTATGTGTGTGTATGTACGTGTATGTGTGTACGTTGCGTGTGTGTGTTTACGTGAGCGAGTTGTGTGTATGTGTCTGGTGTGTGTGTGTGTGTGTGTGTGGTGTGTGTGTGGCGTGTGTCTCTGTGTGTGTATGTGTAGGGTGGTGAATACCTAAGTGTGTGTGTTTATCTAGGCAATCAGTAAACCATCAAACCCACCAATGATTTCCAGATTGGCGCCTTTTGTGGTCCCGTCAAGCAGTTGGCAGCGGTAGACGGCTTCATCATCCAGTCCCACTTTTGGGATGTACAGCGTGGAAGATCCGCGATCCCTATCCATCGTTATGAAGTACTTGGCAGAATCTATTTATTGTTATTGTTGTTTTTTAATTTTTTTATTGCTGTCGTTTTTGTTTTTATTGCTATTATTATTAGTGATTCAGTAGCGGTTACAATAATAATGTCATCAATCAATGACAATAATGATAACAACAATAGTGCAGCGATTGTGTATGTGTATGTGTGTGTGTGAGTGTGTGTGTGTGTACATGTACGTGCAGAAAATTCATTTGTAACTATGTAGGTACGTGATTTAAGCACTAAATAATAATAATACCAATAACAACAACAACAATAATAATACCAATAATATAAATAAAAACAATAATAATAATAATAATAATAACAATAATAATAATAACAATAATAATAATAATCATAGTGTATATTATAATGGTGATAACAATATAAATAATAATATTATAAATAATAAATAATAATAATAACCCTTCTTAATAATTTGACCCTTCCTGACCCACATGTTGGTGCAGCTCTCAGCCACAATGGTTACATTGCTTCCAACTGCAGCCGATATGTTTTGCATGTCATCTTTCTTGTCTGGAGCATGATGAAGAAGAAGAAGATAATGACGAGGAAGAAGATGGTGATGAGGAAGAAGATGGTGATGAGGAAGAAAATGGTGGTGAGGAAGATGATGAAGAGGAAGATGATGAGAAGGAAGAAGAGGATGTTTTGGTGATGTGACGATGACAATGACGATGAAGAATTAACCGACAATGACTTAAATTCATTAAGTTGATAAATATGGCTAGACGAATTTATTAAATAGCATTTATTGAGTAATTAGGTGATAAGTTTTTGCAAGCAAATTGGAGTATTTTGAATGGTTGATTGGATGGTTGGTTAAATGATTGGGCCGTCTAAATTGTCTGTATTGGTTGGTTGTTTGATTGGCGAATTAGTTGGTTGGTTGATTGGCTAGTTGGTTGGTTGACTGGCTGGTAGGTTGGTTGGTTTGTTGGTTGGTTTGTTGGTTGATTGATTGGTTGGATGGTTTGTTGATTGATTGGTTGGATGGTTTGTTGACTGACTGATTGGTTGGTTGGTTGGTTGGTCGCTCAGTTGTTTATAAAAAGATACAAATTGAAATAAATGTGCAGAGACGACTCTACAAAGGAAAGAAATTTTGTTTATATTTCAACCGATTATAGTGTTAGCACGCACTGAAAAATACACATACACACACACACATACATACATACACACAGATACATACATATATATACACACACATATACATACATACTCACACACGCACACACACAAAACTAACACATACATACAAGTTTAGTTAGTTTTTTGGCGTATGTTACTATTACTTATTCACATTTTTCACGAGCATTTAACTTTAAACTCAAAAACTCCATAAAAAAAAAGAAAGATAACGAAAAGAAATTGAAAAATAAAAAACACAAAGATATATAAATAATAAAAATTGAGATTAACAAACAAAAAAAACAATTATTAAAAAATCACAACCCTCTGGCTCGAAAAAGAAAAAATGGATGATAAAGAATATTAAAAAATGACTAAAAAGTTGAATTTCGCGCGATTTTTTTTCAGATTCCAACATTTCATCCTCTGCAAAAGAATTCTTAATGATGCATAAGTGCTAGTATGGTAAGAAAAGAACAACAACACAACAATGACGATAATAAACAACAATAGCAACATCAACTGCGATACCAAACAACAACATAAGTCGTCGCCACCGTCGTCCTAGCAGTAGCAGTAGTGGCAGCTACAGTAGCAGCAGCAGCAGCAGCAGCAGTGGCAGCTACAGTAGCA